CTTCATAGGAATGTGTATTTTTTCTTATTACCGGCGGCAGTGTGTGTGTTCTTGTTGGATATCAGACAGATATTTAGTGGTTTTATTTTTTTTCTAGTGCTCACCTGAATGTCTGTGGAATATGAAATATGAGAGAATCAAATAATTAATGTAGCGATTGTTCAACATGTGCTTAGCGTTGTTTCTCTTTGTATTTACACGAGTAGCAATGCCCTCGCTGTCCATACGTTCATTAAAAAGAAAAAGAAAAGAGGCATACTTTCCAGCGCTTAAGTAGATGTGATTACGCGTACTCAACAGTTGCTTGCTGGAAAAGAAAATTATTTGTGATAAACGAGTAGACTTAAGTTCCGCTGATGTTTATTATTAAATTAAATCTGTATTTAAAAAACACGAAATAAAAAATAATGAATAAATAATTTGTGCTTTTAAATATTAAATAAAGTAAATTTTATTCTTGTGACTTTCGAATATATAAATGTTGAAATAATATTTTTTCCAAGGCTTTCAGTTTATTCCAACCACAGAAGCTAAGAATAATCTTTCAGCTATTTTTCATCACTTCAAGTCATCGAAAAAATTGTAATAGAAAGTCCTAGAGGTTGAAAAAATCCTCATGTAAAGACATAGGTAGCATTCTACTTGCACTCTCTGCGATTTCATACAGTATCCTGTTATTAGAGAAAGCTCTACTGGTTAAGACCGGTCTAAGCCAGCCGAAAAACTAGATGTGTAGCCTTATTGTTTTCCTGGATTTCGTGGACTTAAACCACGGACGTCTGACCGAGAATTTCTTTAAAGTTTGCTAATATATTTTTAACACGCTAGACGGTATTTATTCAAGAGCCTCACTTTGGTGACTGAGTAGTTCGTGCGAGGTTGTATTCTCACCACAAAATGTAGTAATCAGATGCTGCAGAGCTCAAATTGCTAGCGACGTTGAGTAGTTGCGGCTGGCCACTCTTCCATCTTCTCTTGAACCTTCGATAAAAATGTTATGAATATTTGTTTTGCATTCATTTATTTTTCCGAGATTTTTGTGAGAAATGCATTATTATTATAGAAGGGGGAGGATCCCTCCAAATTGGATTTTAATAAGGAGTTTGATGCTTCACACTGTAGAGTCTACTTTAGAGAAGGCCGTAAGTCTCTGCAGCGATCATCTTGTTCGGCAAGAGAAACTTGAAGGTATGTGATGGAGATTAGTGAAGTATTTTTAGGATGGGTCCAAGCTGAAGCAAAGCGTGACTTGTGCTAAAAAGGCTACTATATAATGTGTTTTCCTAAAAAACCGGATATTTTTAGCGATGGCTATAACCGATGAATCAATGCCCATCATTTGATAATCGTGGATATGATTTTTGGAGAAACTCCTACTCAAATCGAAGTATCTGTCTTGGGTGATTGTCTCTTATTTCATGTGAGATACGCACTTGAAAAAGTTGCCATTATCAATCGAGGGAGATTGCTACTTTGTTTTGTATGCTGACTCAAGAACCTGGTAGCACGCACTGATAAGCATATAGCTATTGCAGCTACCACAAAAGTTCAAGTAATGACAACAGAAGTACACCGCACTTCTGAGAGAAACCCCAAATGCCTTAGCAGGCAAGTTTGTTTGTTTTTTCATCATCCTTTTGTCAGCATATATCACTGCTTTCTTAACGACATAGACCTTTGTCTGAAGTAGAACAAAAATTGACACAGTCTGGTTTCTGAAACCGTGTTTGAACGGAATAGCAACGAACTTCCTCACAGCCCGATCGATGGGATATGCCCTTTAATTAAGGATATGTAGCTAGCCAGGTGTGACAGGTATGCCTGCGTGAGAGTATCAATATACGCGTACTTAGATCAGAGTATAGCCACGTTATTAAACTGATGCCCTTATTATTTTTACGTCAAAACTTTAATCCATATAGTTATTATGCATTGGCTCTAAGCTCCATAATTCCACATCCTCTAGGGACTGCCAGCCATACTTTAGGTTGTCCTTTCGAGTAGCGACCTCTCAGAGCTCCTCATATTCCTGAGTTGTTGATTATTTCAATAGATTCTTGACGACAAAATGGTATGAATTTGTGCGCAAAGTACTAGTTAATATACTATATTTTTTGCAATCTAATCCAGATTTAACCAAAGAATACTAATTTAAATTTAGTGTATGGCAAACTAGTATATTTTGGACCTTTAAATACTAGTATAATTCTGGTTTACAACAGACTGATTTCGTCTTCAAAATACTAGTATTTAACTAGACTTTTTTCATACCAGTCTTGGCCAAAAGTATTAGGCACCCCACTAATTACTGATTTTGTTGTTTTAACAAGTGAATTAATGGAATTTGTTAGTAAAACAGTGAAAATGCAATAAATTAATGATAATAACATTAATATTTAGTAGGTCAGCCTTTTGATTTAATAACGGCAGGTATTCTCTTAGGCATGCTACGTACAAGCTTTGAATATTCGTCTGCACTTATAGCGTACCATTTGGAAATTAAGACATTATTTAAGGCAGTTTTTGATGTTTTACTGTGTTCCTTAATCTTGCGTTTTAAAATAGCCGACATTTGCTCAAACGGACTAAGATCTGGAGACTGTGCAGGCCAATCTAACAAAATAATGTTGTCTACATCGATCTCTAAACTAACGCATCGTGGTCGCTGATTTGTGACAAGGAGCATTGTCTTGCTGAAATTGAACTCCGTATAAATTAGTATCGCCGAAAATGCGCGCAACCGAAGGCAGAAGAACAGCTTCCAATACGTTTATGTACTTTTGACTGTCCAAGCGAACCTCGCAAATGAACATTTCGCCGACTTCATCAGCAGCTATGGAGCCCCAGATCACAATGCTGCCTCCTCCAAGCTTAATAGTGTATACCACGCAATCTGGATGATATTCTTAGCCAACCAGTCGCCTCACGAACGTCACACCAGGTGTTCCAAGCATCTTTAGAAAAGAAAAAATAATGTTTTCAAAAGATTTGTATTATGCCTTCAAAATCGCTCTAGGGTAATAGCCTATTTCCACCGGACCTTAAATGCATTTTAGCTTAAATGTATTTAAACATCACATTTAAATGCGGTAATTCCCATGTGTTTGTTGTTGTATAAAAGTGTGTTAACTCACTTTTCAAAGTGAGTTAACTCACTTTCGACAATTTAACAGAAAATGTTATGTTAACATTCGATACTGTCACTAATAATGTAATCATTTCGGAAGTTTCGGTGTACTTCTTGCCAGAGTCGTGTATTTTCGGATTTAATGAGGGGCGAGATTTTTATTTTGCATGGTGAAATTTTTTGTATAAAAATTCCTTTTTTGTATTAGTTTTAACATAAATGCCTATATTAAGTAATTGGCGAAGAGAATGCTTCTCCGCCTTCAAAAAAAAACTATAAGAAACAAACAAAAAACAATTGTGAAATATCAAACGATCCCCTCAACATAAAAATATACGTGGCTCTGGTAGCTATCAGCTGATTGCGCAAAATAAATAATTTGAGGGAGCAAACAAACAAATATGAAAATGGAAACATGCATAAAAGTATTTTCGTTTCAGCAACGTTTGTCCGTGCAGAAATAATCTGCATTTGCAAGTCTTAAGATTGCAGAAATAGCCAAATAAAATGAAAAGTCTCTTGAATTCATGATTTCAATAGTTCTGGCAAATTTCGCAAACTGCAAATGTAAACAAAAATCAGCTATATGAGTTAACTCACTTTCGGTGGAAACGTTTGACATTTCATTTACTTAACAGAGGCCTTAAATGCATTTAAGTGCTTGGTGGAAATAGGCTATAAGAAGCTATGGCTGTTAGTACTTTAGGATGATACTAACTAAACTTACCTCGAAGTTTGATTCATCAGACCACAGAACATTCCACCAATCTTCTTCTGTGAATTGTTGGTATCGGCGAGTCCATAACAAACGATTTTTCCTATTCTGTTCTGTGAGCAACGGCTGCTTTCGGGCTTAACATTCTTTTAAGCCTGCTGCCAGAAGTCTTCTTCTAGCTGTTCGAGCACTAACTGGCTTACTAAATTCATTTGAAAGGGCAGCTGCAATGGCAGAAGAAAATTTTTTGCGATCCTTGAGAGACTCGCGTATAAGTATTCGGTCTTCTCGTTTACTGGTGAGATGCTTTCTTCCACTTTTTGATTTATTATTGTGGGATTTCGTTTCGATTTTGCGCACCGCGAACCTCCCACCAAATTGGCAATCTCAACCTGAGACTTACCTTCTTCAGTTAGAACTTGAATTCTAACTCTATCATCCGTAACTAATTTAACTTTTTTTAGGCATTTCGGCAAATATGAACTGTTTTTATAAGATTGGTAACTTTTTTTGTAATTTACACTTTCACTTTCAAATTTGAGATGCGCAAATATTTTAAGAATTTCTTAAAAATTACAATTTTTAGGTTTAGTTTACCAGGAGTGCTATGACTTTAAATATTACACAATTTATACGTTTAATCAACAGTTAAGCGCCCATTTAAGACATTTACAAAAATAGGTGGTAACTTTGATAGCCACATTAGAGAATACTTGTATTTTAGAGGGATGCCTAATACTTATGGCCAAGGCTGCATTCAGTATATTTCTGCTAAGATATTCGCGCCTCTGTAGGTTACTTAATTTTAACTTTCTTTGACCATATAATTTTTGGAAATAGTAAAAAAATAAAAAAGATGGTGGTCTCCCAAATAGCAGCTATTACTTTTAGCGTCCAAAGCTGTTGTTGTAATATTTTCATTATTTAAAAAAGTTTATGGTCTGAGACAGTTCCATAAAACTAAAAACAAAAACAAAAACAAATTAACAGAAAAAGCATCTAAAAATATATTTATTTAAATATCATTTTTCTTCTTCTCTTCCAGGTGAGAACATATACATTTGCCCTGGCGGATCTTGCTTTTTCTTCACTCAGAAACCTCAAAAAGTATTTTTTAACCAAATATTAGATTTATTAATTTTTATACTCAGATTTTGAAAACGAAAGCACAAAAATAAGATAATGAATATTCTACAAATACAATTCAAAATATCCAACCATTACAATCAATGCTCATTGTCCGTCTGCCACAGCGGTAAAATTTCTAATTTGTTCTCTCCGTCCACCTCGTCACTTCTTCGTTCCCACGTCCATGTCCATATGAAAGGTCATAGCGTTGTCTGCGTTCTCTTTTTCACCCAAATCGCTTCTCAATTTTCCACCATCACATTCCGCATGCGGCATGGCATAGCGCAATTTACGCCAAAACCACGGGTCGCCCCACTTCAGGTAGGTGTTCGTTTTCAAATAGGCTCTCAGCTCTTGATCCAGCAACTCGGTATTTAGAATTTCACCATAAACTACGAGTATAATACGTGACCGACCCTCATTCACAGCACACTGATGAGCCGTACGAAATTCCATTTGAGCCCAATCCGATTCGATAAAGTTTTGAGAGAGCACAATAATCGTGCGACGTGATTGTACAACCGAATCAATAATCTGCTCGGGTATATATGCGCCTGCCAGCCAGTCGCGTACATGTATGCAGGTTTTGAATGCAGGCGTGCCGTGCTCCAGCCCCGGCACAAGCTCTTTCTCCACAAACTCTTCATCGTGATGTGAGTAGGATATGAATGCATCCCATTTACGATCGCGATCCACATCCCTTTCACTCACACAACACAAGCAGAGGCGGTGTGCATAGAGCCAAATCTTCAATTCGATGCGATATTTGTAGTAGCACAGCGCGGTGGTGGTGAGTATCAAGCCGAGTGCGATGAGGCAAACCAGTATGACCACCAGTACAGTGCGCACGCCGATCTCTGGTAGACAGAAGTCCCGGTAGGATAACTCGCGTAGTGGTGAGAGTTGTTTGTCCGCACAACGCATGTAACGTGCATCAGCCAAACGCTTGCGATTACTCTTGACCAAGTTCAGCAGTGGCTGAGCGCTACAGTTGCAAGACCATGGATTTTCCGAAAGATAAACGGTTGTCAGTGCAATGCTGGTGTTCAGCGTATTAATTAGTTGTGGACTGAGTAGCTTCAGCTGATTTTGACGCACATCGAGTACGGTGAGTGCGCTGGTTGAGTGGTTGCTGGTACCCAGTCGATCGCACAGATGCTCAATAGAGTTAAAACTTAGTAGAAGACGTTGTAAGCGTGACAGACCAGCGAAAATAATGCAGTCCGCACCAGCTGCCCAACTTAATTGATTATTACGCAAATCGAGCCCCTGCAGGCGGTTGGGTTGAGCGAAGGTGTCTGTGGATATTGTGCGCAGCTCGTTGTTATCCGCCGAGAGCTCGATCATGGCGGTGAGTGGGGGTAGTATGCGCGCGTCTAAATGACGCAATCGATTGCGGCTCAAAATTAACTTCAAGAGCTTGCTGGTGGCTTCAAAGAAACGCAAGGGCAAAGCTTGTAAACGATTTCCACTTAAATTCAGTGTTTGTAAACGCTGTTGCTGGGCTAGCAACGCAGCCGGCAGCTCGCTCAGCCGATTGTCCATTAAATTCAGGCGTTGCAACAGTTTCAACGGTGAAAAGATGTGTGCTGGCAAAAACGTTATGCTACAGTTTATCCAATAGAGCCCTCTAATCATGGTCAAGTTCTGAAAAATCTCCGGGTGCAAACGATGTTCGAATTGATGCTCGCGCATGGAGAGCTCACGCAGACGCTTAAGCACACGAAAGGTAGCACGTGGAAATTCCAGCAAGCGACCCAATAAAGTAATATCATTTATGTTTGGCACGGGCGCAAGTAAGTCCGCCGGCAGTTCGGTGTAGTTCAACTCGATGGTGAGCCGAAATAACGCTGGCATTGGCGTAAGTATGTTGGCGTCGAGCTCTTGCCTAGCGTGGGATGCCAACTCAAACGGCGCTGTAGTCTTTTGCTCGGCACGCAACTCTAGTATGGTGACTTTTTGCAATCGTTTGAGATCGTGGCCGAAAGTATTGAGGCTCAAGTGCGTTATGCCCGCTAAACCGTGCACGTAAAGTGTATGCCTCGGCGTCAGTTCCAACTGCAGCAGTAACTCTGTAAAGTACTTACAGTTATGCGTCGCTATAAAGGTGCTTTCACGTATGCTGCCCAGGCGCGGTAAGCTCGTCGTCATGTGCGGTTCTAACTCGTTACCACAATTGAGCTCGATGCCATACTCCATGTTCACTGAGATGTTTAATTGAGCGTTGACACATTCCAATTTGGTCAGATTGTATTTATCGCGGTAGCAGTTGCAAGTGCCATTAGCTTTGATGTTTGCGCAGTCCTCGGCGGTGAAGGGTGATCTGTACTCCAAATACTCATCGAAGGCGACAACACTTTTATAAAGATTGTACATGTAAAGTAAGGCAAATATGATTTTGAAAGCCACGTGATTTGTTCTTAACCTCAGCCACCCCATTTTCCGAGGCTCAATGCATGTATGTGCATATGTTGTGTAGTCTTTGAAATTCCAAGGTGGACTGAGCTCAATAATCGCAACGCGGTACGTTTAGCGGTGTACTTATTGTGAGCGAGATCGTTTGGACCCATCATACAATGAGTCCCTATTGATCTAACTACAAGATCAAAGAGAGCTTGATTGGCATTGTCAAGTGTTGAAAGCTGAAATTAATGCCTTTTCAGTGTGAAATTGAGTGGCAGCTATCAAAATATGATGGATTTTGAATTGTGCGACTGAGTGAAAATAATAAGCTCACCGATTTTGAATTATACTACGTTCCAGAGGTAACTCATTCTCAGCGTATATTTTTTTTCTTTCTGCTAAATAAAAATTTATTCTTTGAATTTTGGAATAATAAGGATGCGATTTGGAGTTTCCATCAGCACCAGGAAACTTTCGAAGTTGGCAAAAGTTTCATCCGTGGTCAAGCCAGTGTTGCCACCGCCTCTTTATTCGCTGAACTATACGAGGGGATTAACAAAAGTTCGCTAAGTTGATCATAAGAAAAATATTCTTTTGCATTTATTCGTACTCTTTGTCCTTTTTTATCTTCTCTATATAATCGCCATTGATTTCAATGTATTTCTTAGGTCTATACGAGATCTACTTCTGAAAACAGTCTTCAAAATTTTGCTTTTTAAGCTTATGGAGTTCAGCATAACCGCAATTATTATTTCCTCGTTGCTATTAAAGACCTTTTATTTATTTATTTATTTTTTCAATTTTTGGAAATGGTCAGATATCTTAAGGTGCTTTATTCGAGGAATAGGGTGCTGGACTTCTTCCTTCTTCGATATCAGAGATCGCATTTAAATTACTCGTTATTTCAGTAGTGTGAGATGGCGTCTTGTTGTAACGCCGCAGATCCGTTTTCTTCCTGTTTTCCAACAAATTTTTGAAAACCCCTGGTAAGCGCTCTTTGGTGTACCATCTTGCAGTTACCGTCTGACCCTGTTCCAGTGGAAAAGCAGCTACGATTTGGTACGGCGGGATTATTGGACCTTACTTTTTCGAAAATGAGGTCGGACCGTGTTGGCTCTTGAAAAGGTGATCTTGTGATTTAATACCTTGCGACCTCCTCCACTGAAGAGATAAGATCTACACCAACAGGTCAACGTCGATTCAAGATCTCAAAGCTGGAATTCGTGAAGGTATTGAGAACATGCAGTAGCCACTTTGCAATTTGGTGATGAAAAATTTCCCAAAAAGAAATTTCAAAGAACACGACTTATTGGAAAACCCTGTATATGCGCTATAAAGAATATTTATTTTTAATGAATAAAAATAATTTACCACAAGCAAAGAGCGTTTGAAAACCTGAGTTGAAATTATAGTCATGCTCTCACTATTTTTAGTTGACCCTTGTCACTTAACCGTAGCAGCAGTGAGTATGCGATTCGACTACTTTCCCATTCACTCTTAACTTGTCTTAATTTCCCTTCCTCCCCACGAACACTTTTGCACTAATTAAAAATTCCAATTCATTTAAATGTTACAAGACAAGTGGCGAGCACAAGTGACGTGACACATTTTCCGTTCCGCGTGCAGAAGGTGGAAGGTAGTGAATGTTGTGAAGGTGTGCAAATGGAATGAAGGCATCATTACTTGAGTAATGGCGGAAAGGATGTAAGGACCTAAGAGTTTGCACGTCTTCATCTTTGTGCCTTCTTCTTATTCCAAACATAATTAACGTAATTTTCAAAGCGAAGATGACGAGAAAGTCACAATTTTACTTATACACCCACCACCAGTCATACTAGAAATTTGTTTAAAAAAAGGAAGAAGAAGAATTTGAAAGCGAGGTGGTAAGGGAGGTAGCTGTAAGAAAGTCAAGCATTGCATGCCTGTCGTTAGCATCAGCATTAGTATGAGCTAAATCACAGTCAAAAGCAAAAAAGAGAGTGCGAGAGAGAGAGAGAGAGAACGTGAGATGGGGATAGAGAGATATAGAGAGAGCGGGCGTGTGGAGAAGTTGAGTTTGAAATTGTCAGTATACGTAAGTGGAAGGCAACTAAAATGAATTGACTTAATACTAATATTATTTTACTTACTTCGAGCACACAAATGTTGACGGGTTAAGGCCACAGTTACACAGCAATTTGGGGCGCGAGTTACCTTAAAATTGCAGCCGGCATTTTATTTCGCACACCGATTCTTTTTCTCATAACAAAAATGCCACGTAAAGCAACTGCACAACCAACTCACTAAGGATAAATGAAAAGTTGAGCGCGCCCTTGCAATAAGGCCCGTTATGGTATGCGCCAACAACACATTGCAACCGCTCCTGTCCTGTTTAGCATAATTTCGTAATTTAGACAAGTCGAAGGCTACAAGTACATGCCGAAGATGATGAGATGTTGCGAGACCTCCAAACGTGAGAAGCTTTGCTAAAATAGAATAAAAATATGTAAACGGAAGACAAGTTTCTGTACGCTCGAGCGCTTGCTGAATAGTGTATAAAGTAACACAACAATAACAACCGTTATACGTAGTCCAAATGACAGCCAGAAACAATGGCAGACTACTTTATGCTAAATTTATTATGTATTCATGATGTGTACGCGCGCGAGTCTCTTTGCATTGCAGCCCCTTCGCACACACCGCCACAACACACATTCGGGCGTAAATCCAGCTCGTAAGCTAAAGCGACATTGACAGCTCTAAGTATAACGGTTATTAAGTTAGTAAAGCTTTAATGACAGCCGCCACATGACAAGGCGTAGCCGTGCAAATGCAGAAGGTGGTGGCATATACGAGTAATTAAATGGGCGCAGTCATGTCTGTGGCGGTCATTGCAAAGATGTAGGCAAGCAGATGGTGTTCTTGAAGAATGGCTGAACTACTAGGCGTGAGATTGTACGCTCGAGTTGCTGAGGCAACCAGGGCAAAAGTACCACCTGGATTGGCAACGGCCACCGGCAAGTGTTTGATGTCATCGAAAATTTCAAGGCTCCACATTTTGCAGGGAATATCAAGCACTTCGAGTGTGTTTCTTATTTGAAAAAAAAGGTCTTGATAAATCCTCATATCCATCTGTTATTCGGAGGCGGCTTACAATAAGCTGTAGGTCCTTCCATTTGTTTGAAAAACATCAAAGCACGCACCACAAATTCGAGGAGGAGCTCGACCGAAAACCGCTTCATCGCTTGGTTGGTTGAGTAGCAGCTCACCTAGACCCCAAGCTGGTCAATTGCGATACCACTGAGGATCTTAATGACCCCCACCCACTAATCGAACCAGTATGCCGAGTTTGCAAAATTGAGCAGTCACTACTTCTGGGGCTCCGCATTCTCTTCCAAGAGACTTGAAACTACTACTCCAAAGTACGAGGCATTCGCAGAGAAAGTGCTTTAAAGTTTCTTCTTCTTATCTGCAACTTCTGCAGAAATCGTTAGATGTTGCGCCCAACTTCTCTGCGTGTCAGCCCAAAAAAATTTGTCTTGTAAGAAGACCTATTACTGTGGATATCTCCTTTCTTTTTAGCTCGATAAGATCGCGTGTTCTTCATCCATTTCATTCTGGTCATACGACAGATAACTGCTTAGGTACCACGTTAAGTGATCTGCGGCAGTCTTCTGCGGTTTTAGATTTTACTGTTACATACTCTACGGCTCGTAATTCAGCCTGGCTATCCGAAAAAATGTGGATACGATTATCGGAGAGCACCATTGAGTTGAGATAATTTACAGCCTCTTATGTCGCCACAAATTCCTGCTGAAAACGAGAGGATTTGCGTATAATAAGATCCTTTGAGTGAATTCTGCAACCGGCCCTGACATCTAGTTTTAAACCATCCGTATAAAAATAAATCGTGTTGGTATTTGCTGGCATTATCCTGCCCCAAGGGTTTTTATCCGCAAATTTTGCTAGTAGTGAATGAACGTCTAGTCAAAATCCCTATACGATGACGAAGGATGTCTTTTAGGAACATCTGAAACCGACTTATGAGCGCCCCTCCCACCACAATGACAAAGTTGCACTTGCTGACTTTAATAACGGGGTGGATATGGCGGACGTCTTCTGCGCAGCTGTTGGAAAATTCAGCATACATAATGGAATGGGTTATGGTTGATCGACTTCGTCGGGACACAAAATATGATTGTCCGTAGCACTACATTCCAGAGCCAGAAAATTAATCAAGTTACATGGTTATCATCGTATCGAAAAACTCGAAACCAATTCGATTATGCTTTGAAAGGCGGACGACACGTTCAGTGTTCTTGACACCTACGCAAAGAGGACCTAATATTGACTTGGACAATTATTTCGTTGCAAAGAACACAAAGAAGGTTTAACGGCGAAAAACTGCATTCACAGCAGACAGCCTAACAGTTTTATATTCGTCGTACACACTCATGCTCTCTGAGAACAATTACCCACCAACTCTGTGCTGCCCAAGTACAGCTACGAGCGAAGCCATTAGTTTTCAGAAAGGTTAAAAGAAGTGAATTGCTTTGAACAAGCGTTGTTTGATAGAGATACCGAGAGTTGCAGAGGGAAGCGATACTCCTATTCAGACAATAAAAAAGAAGCTTAAATGCGTGAGAATGAAGAAGATGAGGAGCGGAATTTTAGTGCGGCGACTACGCTTTCACGAGGAGATGGTGAACCGGATTCCCTAACTGATAACGAAAGAACAAATGTTTCATTACTCGACTTTGATCAAGTCCAAATATGAATTGACCGCTTGAATAATGAATCTCCGGAACCTTTCCTAGCCGATCGGTACTGTCAAGGTTTCTTCTTTATATCACAAAAACTTACAAACAACTGCTGACTGCTGACATCTTCGGCTCCAATGACACTTAGTTCTGCCTTCATCGAGTGAGTTTTAGGGCTTCGATTGCTTTATATTCACAGCAATTGCTCTCTATACAGTCATTATACTCCGTACAGTCCTTACATCAGACCAAGTTTAGGATCCTGCATGAGTGTTTGGGAGAACAAATAAGATATCGAGGTATTATGGAATAAAAAATAAATACTATTTATTGCATTATATTTCTCAATGTTGGTACACAAAATATTTTGAAACAATATTACAAGGTTATAGATCTCTAACAAAAGCTCAACGGTCTTATAGCCATTAATATGCGCGCCACATTCTCACGCAACATTGGATCCATATTCCTTTGCTTCTCGAGGCTGCTGGGAAGCGCATAAACTTGCGACAGCTGATAGAGATCGGCATAGTATTCCATGCCAGCAATGCCGGCTGAATTGAAACTCGGTGAAACCTCCGTGCAGTCGATAATGGCGCTCTTAAGAGGTGTCACCAACAGAGTGGAATGATATGGCTTGAGAGAGAATCGCCAAATATACTGAGATAGTTATAGAGAGAGATAATGTCAGCTAATCAATTTTACTTACCACTTTCTTGCCTTCGATTAGCTCTCGCATAAGCAGCACAATCGTACGACTACCCGCCAGCAGATTCCAACGGGACCAACTGAAATTGTGCGATTGCACCAACGTCGACATACACGCATACAAATGCATTTCCATGACGAAATTCTTCTCACAAGTACCTTCGGTGTAGCAAAACGTATCGGGTTCTGGAAAAATATCTACGGCCGCTGCGATGAGTGTCGACTTGAGTTCAGCAAGCGAGAGCGTTTTGCCTATAAGATCATTGATCCCTGGTGTGCTGCCACCTTGAAAATTATTGACGCAATAACCCGTTGAAGTTATGTTCATATCGAGGCTTATAATGGAGGCGGTGAAACTGAAGAAAATCGTGCCGGGACTGAAAGGAAAATGTGGGCTTTATGAAATTGATTTTCTCTTTTAAATGCTTTGAGTGAGGATAAGAATAAGGATGGATAAAGGTAAGGGTAACGAAATGGCAAAAATAAAGACAAGCATAAAGATAAAGATAAAGACAAAGATAAAGACAAAGATAAAGATAAAGATAAAGATAAAGATAAAGATAAAGATAAAGATAAAGATAAAGATAAAGATAAAGATAAAGATAAAGATAAAGATAAACATTAACATTAACTAAAAGACAAACATAAAGATAGAGATGGTAACAAATCCGTATACAAAATTTACTTAATTGATCCATTATACTTTGTCTTTTTGTTTTTTCTGAGCGTTTTCAGTTTTTCTCTCACAAAAGCATCCCATTGGTGCGTCGCTAATATACTCCCGATATTTGTTTGATAAGCATCAATTGCACAGACGGGTTTGTGTTTGAATTCAGCGAAGTTGCGGGCGTTAACCGTCTTTTAGCGTCTAATAGGATTATTGGGCTTGCGCGCGAAAAACATATACATATGTAGAAATTTCTCTTGCAACACCTCATACGCACCTTTTAAAATCTGGCTTTATTTCCCACGTTTGATACGGCATGTTGCTGTAACGATTTAGTGCCAAACCAAATATGCCTTAAATTGGAAAATTGAAATATATTATATACAATATATATGTATATGTGCATATATGCATTCCAACCATGACCACCGCATTGTTGCCACAAAATAATCGGTGAACAAAAGCAGAAGCGGCAGCATTTAGCCACACATGCATAACAGCAAGCAGTGAATTTCCATTACAGTTCATTCGGTCGTTTGTGCGTTCATTTGCATTCGTTGTCGACGGTTGTGGTTTGGTTGTTTACATTCGCACGTTTTGGCAGCACATATGGGAAAAATGAGATAAACCATCAGTGAAAACCCGAAATTGCATTGCCACATACAGTGGGCAACAACACAAACACATACACATATACATACGCACGTAGTACAAATACAAATACTCACCCAAACGTCCTGTACGAAATTGTAGCGAAAGCTTTTCCTCATTAAATTTGGCATCGTGAACATCACGTGTACTCCATTTGCCTTGTGTTAGAGCGATCAGATTGTTTGCTTTGTATTTTTTGCTGTAAAATCAGTGGGTAACAGATTTAAACCATTAAATGGTAATATGGATTAAAGGGGAATATGATTTTAGTTCTGGTTCTGAGATTTTTGCGTATTACAATTTGGACGTTGATTAAAAGTTGTATTAAGTTTTAAGGAACAGGATACTCTCATGAAGAATATATGTATATATTCAAAGAAAACAATTCAAAAATATGAATGCAATCCATTATCTGGCTGGTGTTTCTAAAAACTCAGAGTAATTCTATTGTATATCGAAGTCTAACCAATTAAAAAGGCCATATATTCAGTTTGGAAAATTAATTTTAATCTGTCCAAAGTACAAAATATGTGAAAATATTACGAAATTTGGAAAAAATTTACTTTTGCTCGATGTCAAAACCTTTTGCTTATGGCCCTGAGACGATCCAAAGACGAATCGCGAGTTGCACGAATGTGACTGGCAGGTATTTTTGGTCCGCTCGTGCACAACAGTTTCCTTCAGCACGCCGAGACTGGTGCATCTTTTAGTTCGGACCTTACTCTTCATAATTACTACAAGAGAATAATCTACCGGACTAACGTTTTGGTGATTCGAGAGCCATTGTGTGGAATTTATGAAGTTCGAAACGTAGTTTTCCAGCCATTCTTGGTCCGTTCGAGCTTTATGAGACGGTGCCGAGTGATGTTGAAACGTTTATGGTTCGCCACAGAATACTTTTCCGTTAATATTGCGCATTCACCTTGACGCCAGGCACGATGAAAACGATTTGAGAGCGATCATCTGCGGTTACAGCGGCCCAAACCATTATCTGTGGCGGGTGCTGCTTCCTGGTGCCCAATCGATGACTGAAATTATTGTATGAACGGTCGATCAAAAAAATCTTATCGTTTTGAGAGCTTACGCATTGCTCAACTGTAAAAATTTTATTGTCAGAAAACACAATGTTTTGAAATTGACCACTTTCGGATAAGCGAAGCAACTCTTTGCTGTTTCAAGTCTGATTTGCTGCTATGTGGGTGTGAGATTTTGCGTCTTCAGGATTCTGGAAGGCTTGACATAATGCTCGTTTTTCAGTGTGCGTCGGATGCTATGGTCAGATATTTTCAATTCTTTCGGTTTTTGATTGGACTTCGACGGTGAGTACGCTCAAGTCGCATCTTCACTCTCTGAACCATCTCACGTGACGTTGCCGTCTTTTGAGGGCCACCTCCATGAGCCATAAAAAATACTTCATCCCACTTTACCATCTCGTTGGGAACTGTCTATGCAAACTTTAATTCCAGCCGGAATGTCTTTTTTATTCACCCTTTCTTTCCTACCGAGTATCGGTGTCATAAAGGAACGGTTTTCCAAAGTAGAAACAAAGTTTGTACTGCGAGTTAGGAAATCATATTTCTCTGGGATTATTTATTGTCTTGGTTTTCGATAGCTCCACTCTTTCTATTTCCTTAAGCGAAGAACCGACAGCATTGCTATCTGAGGTGTTGTAATTCTATCGGTAGGAAGTCAAGGATTACAATTAGATCTTCAATTGGAGTGAGCCTATGTGCATCATTAAAACACATCAGTCTTACCAAAGCTATCTATATCTTTTTCCTCACCAGTGCTGCCTATCACAATACTCTTGCCATAAAAGAGTGTTGGGCTTACGACTGAAATGATATCCAGCGATAGAATCTGGTTCTTACACACCATTTTTTACCGTAAGACTTTGACTAGCCTAAGTATTCAGGCGACAGCGATAGTCGAGTGGTTAACATTGCGTACTGCCATTCGCAAGACCCGGGTTCAAATCCTGGTGTCGTACCAACATCAAAAAAGTCAGAGAAAATAAATTTAAATAAAAAATTAATCTAAGTTTTCTAATTACGTTCGCCCCTCGGCAGGCCAATGTTATTTTCTTCAGGTGTATTTCGGACAAAAAATAAAAGCTACTCGTAAAAAAACCATCAGCCGTTCGGAGGCGCCATGGTATAGATTGAAACCTAACAAACATGATGAACCGAATTTCCATCTGCGAATCGCTACTGAATCGCAACAAAATCGACCCGTTTCCGAAGCGGATAGCGAATGGTGATGAAAAATTGGTCCCTTACGATAACATCGAGCGCAAACGGTCGTGCTCAAAGCTCGGGGAAACGGCTCAGACGGTGGCCAGGACCGAATTGACGGCAAGGAAGGTTTTGATGTGTGTTTCGTGGGATTGGCAAAGAATCATCTACTACGAGCAGCTTCCCTATGGCCAAACGCTCAATTCGGCCCTACAAATGGACCGTTTGAAGGCAGCACTCAGCCAGAAGAGGCCATCTTTGATCAACACAGGCCAAATTGTGTTTCATCAGGACAACGCCAGGCGACACACGTCTTTGGTGACGCACCAGAAATTTATGCTGGTTTACACCGTTAGCATTCCATAGGCAAATCCTAAGCTCACTCATTTTCTGGTCAACAAGGCTTGGAGCATTTGGTTTTGCGCCTTCATGCACTGGATTAGATTAAGAATCATGGCCTCAACTCCAGTGCTGGAAGGAGTGACAGGTGGAGCCTGTTCATTGGCTCATTGGTAATTTGATCAGTATTTGAGCTGGGTAGGCTGAAAGGGCTCGGAATGGAAGTAGGATTTAGGTGTTGGTTCCGTTTGGCCTGTATACTTTGAACAAGTTTAGATTTTAAATCTTTGTAAGCCGGATAGCAACAACAAGTTTTGTCGAATTGACTTGCTTATTACTTACGGATTCCATTTTGAAACCCACGAGAGGTGGAAAACGAAAAAGGCTGTTTTTTGGGTTAGAAAGTTAGCTCTGCCCATGCAACATCTGGTGTCACCTTAGCGAACTAGTTAGATCTCTATCCTTTACCTTTCTTTTGTGGAGGTTTTCTTTCACTCCTTTTAACCATGCGAAAAAGAATTATTTCAACAGTTCCCCACACAGCATCTTCATTACCATATTCGTCTTGACATTCAGCTTTCTTTTTGTCCTCGATTTTTTTTTTGTCATCCCCCAACAAGAAATTTAACGGTCTCTTTTTAGCAATTGTCATTCATCAACTAGTTGCTCTGAGGCTGTGAAAAAAAATGGCGATGGAACAAAATGCCCAAACAAAGGTACAAACAAACCAAAAACGAACAAACAAAGGTAGATGCAGAATAAAGAGATTGGAAAATAGTACAGAAGAAGTAGAAGAACGAGGAAAAGAGGGGTGTGTAACAATTCAAAATCGTATGAAGAGTTGACGTCGCTTTCTACAATAATGACAACGGCAAACATTTGCCAATTGGCGCCAATTGATTTTTAGACTTGTGTAAGTGTCAGCCTACGGCAACGGCAGAGATATACAAATGTACAAACACAAGCAAATACATACATAAATATGTATACGAGTATATGCATGTACGTGCGCATGTTGTTAAACTTTGAATGCCAGATTTTTTTGTGCGATTTTTCTCACACTTTTTCTACAGCACTTTTTTCTGCACTTCCACTGATTTTAAGTGAGTGCGATTTTATGCTGATTTTTCGTTTTTTCTTTTTTAATTTTTGTGATTTACCTACATTTGACGGCAAAATGAGCTGCCTAGTTGTATGCTAGGCGGCACTAAAATACACTTTTGCCTAGATTATGCATAGCGTTGTACCATTCCATGCCTGAAATATCGACAGTTAATATCCTTCCAATTAAAACGAAGTTATTGCTTAGAGCATCACTCTTCGTTGGAAAATTTAATCTCAGTCGCGTCAAGCGGAAATTGGCAGTTAAATCAAAAAATATGATTGTAAAGGGGTCACTTGAATTATGATTTTTCTAAGCTGCTTCTGGCTGACTGAATGCCATTTAAAATCATGGGTTTTTGGAAGAAAAAAACTTTCGAAAATCTGCTTTGAAATGACTGTTAAAGTTTTTACGTTATAAAAGCTTCTATTTAGTGCTTTACAACCCTCCAAAGGTGAATAGCTGAAATCAACTTAAGTAAATTTAAGCAAAATATATTCCACCTTACTCCCTTTTTTTCGTTTCACTCTTCTTTACTCGAAAACCAACTTAACCGAACTTAAACAAACTCAACACAACTCAACATACCTCTACTGAGCTCACCTCCACTCAAATCAACTTAAATCAACTTACCTCAAATCAATTGAGGGCAACTCAAGTCACCACAGAGAAATTCACGACAAGAAATCGTTTTTCTTTTTTACTGACGTAGACAACGCTTACGCGATTATAGCTTAGTTCAGCGCAATACATCAGTTCAATTAGATTTCTAGTCTAGCCAACTCAACTGAACTCACTTCTATTTAACTAACCTCACTTCTACTCAACTCAACTCAATACTAATCAACTCCACTTGGGTCTGCTCAACACTACTCAATATCAACCCAATTAAACCCAGGGAAACTTAATTCTGCTTAACTCAATTCATTTCCACTCAACTCAATTCAACTAAACTTGATACTGCCCAACTAAATTCAACTCGATTCTACTCAACTCAACTTAGGTCTGCTCAATATAACCCAATTCAATTCAACCCAACTAGACTCAACTTAATTGAACCCAGATCAACTTAATTCCAATCATTCCCACTCAACTCAATTAAACGATACTTAACTTATTTAACTATTTTTAAACTCCGTTCAACTAAATCAAATCAAGTCAGTTGAAATCAAGTCGAATCAAGTCAAGTCAAATCAAGTCAAGTCAATTGAACTAAAAGTAAAACAATCCACTTCACTTACTTCAATTAACTAAACCAAGGTGAACTCTGCGCCATACAACTCAATTCAAGTTACGCCAATTCATCTCCACTTTAGACTAAATTTATATCAAGTCTTCTACGGTCTAATCAAGTCAACTTAAGTTAACTAAACTCTATCCAAGTCAATTGAACTCAATCAAAATTCATACTTTTTCAACTCAAAACCACCCAATCGAAATTAATTAAATCTCACTCTTTTCATTTAATCACTTCATAACTCATTTCAATTCATTTCCTCTCTAGATCCACAAAATTTATCTCAACTAAAGTTCATTTACTGAATACTCTTCCTATCTAATCGAATTGAACTCAGCTAAATGTAGCTGAAAATAGCTTTTCTCAATGGAAACTTATTAAGCTCAATTCTCTAGTGACGTCTGTCAAATCGAGGTAAATCCAGTTGAGTTGCTACAAATTTTCATTCAGAGAAACGACACAAAGATGAAGAAAGTACAAATGAAAAGCAATAATTTCAGATTTTACTTGGTTAATTCGATTTCAGTAATCCACTAAGGGAGCCTTAGGTTAGGTTGAAGTGGTTGTCGTTAAAGTCTCACATATTTTGTACTCCTAAGGACTTTAGTATACTCCTTCAAAGAATGAGTTGAACGCAAATGAAGTGGTTTAAGGTTGTTTCAACTCACTACAGCAGAAGTCGTGGTACACCCAATCTCTTTGTGTTGCGGCCTAAGAGAAAATGTCCTGCAAGAAGACCCATCAGGGTAAGCAACCTCATTTTTTTGAGCGCGATAAGTTCTCGTGAACTTGCACATATTCCTGGTGACATTGCAACCAATGAGATTGTTTCATTTTTATTGAGCAGCTGTGAGGAAATCTCTCTTATAGTGTGCCAACTTCGTGGAGAGCGGCATGCGTAAACTCTTCCATTCTGACGAAAATGTTTGGTAAGCGTGCTTCCTTTTAAGATCGTCCGGTAAACGAAAGAATTTTATTGTATAAAGCTTCATGGAATATCCCAAGGCGCTATTAAGATTTGATCCTCGCTTATAAAAGTGAATCATTTGCATTTGCTGGCTTCTATTACCTGCCTCATGGATCTCCTTAATGTCAATGATAAGAAGAGGCAAGAGCTAATTCATAGACTTAGCAAATGAGATCCGCGAGAGTAGTGTCTCCTCTGCACTCTGTAACATTTAGAGATCATTTTTTTGCCCTGACCAAGTAAGCTTAGCCTTAACATCATGCGAGATGCTCCCGAGGGCAATGTGCAGAAATAGAAGATTTTCTAAACTTGAGCACTTAACTTGAGGGAAACAAGACAATTTTACTGTTAACTTTGACTAATACCAAAAAATCGACAACTCGACTCGTCATATAAAATTCAGCAACTACAGAGTACTTAAAACATTTATATATAATATAATATGTATATATATATATATATATACTAATATTTGTTCACACTCACCCATCACTACTGTCACTCTCACTACGATTGTGCTTGTCAAGCATTTGCTGTAGACTGCCTGTCGATTGAGCACCTGCTCCTGCACCTACTCCAGCACCTCCTCCACCACTTTTACTATCACCACTGAGTAGCGAATTTAAATTTGCCACCGACACATCCTTACGTGCACCGACGACAAAATTCTCCAGCAATGCTTCATCATTCCAACCATCCTCCTCGTCATAGTCATCTTCATCATTATATTCATCGCTGCTGCTTGCTTCGTCTTCATCGTCGTCCTCCTCCTCCCCGGCCGCCGCACCGTTTGTGCCTTTATTATCTGCGCCATTTTTTGCATCCAAATCACGTAGAAACGAAAAGCCCGGATAGTAGGTGAATGCCGGTTGTAATGTTTCCTGTGCTTCGCTGTGAGCCTCTTGGCCACCACTAGCGCCTGCCGCAACAGCAGCTGCGTCGACAGTGGAGGCGACAGCACGTGCGTCACTTTTGCCGTTTGCGGGTGGCGAAGTCAGATTAGCCGAAATTCTTTTGAGCGCATCCGTTTGTAGTGGCAGCTGCAGTTCACCAAGGCGATCCAAATCCTTTGGTGCATTTGGTGAGAGGTGAAGCGATAAATGTAGAGAATAGTGTGTTGTGAGTGTGCGTGTATGTGTGTAGTGGTGGTTTGCAAAATATAAGAAATGATAAAAATTTACAAGAAAATGTTTTATATTATTTTGGGACTCGTATTGTTGTCGCTTCCCTTTTTGTGTGTTGTTGGTGCTGCGCTTTATGGCTCAGTGTAGTTTGAGTGTATTCTTCTTTACTACAATTCATGCCTAAAAGGGTATTTACTATTTATCGCTTATGTCATTAATCTTTTGGGCTCTGAAACGATGTGTGTACCGTTTTTCGACTTGAAGCGGCTCTTTACTGTTAGAGAGAATGAGTTCCTTACAAAGAAGTTTCCGTATTTTATGGATTCAAAGTTAACAAGAAATGTGTGGTTAAGAGGTGAGCCTTCCTCTGGTTCGCCCCAAGACTTTAAATTCTGTTTCGCTCCAGTAATGTTAGTAGCAACAACAAAGTCTTCTTTACAAATATTTTTGGGTTTCTTACTTTCGGAATAGCCATTGGAAGAGGTTAATCTAGACCACGCTTAAGACTTCAAAATCTTCCAAAATGAACTGCTTCTCTCCTGGTATGTAATCCAAGATCGGGTCAGAATTCAACTAATGACGAAGACTCCCAGGGAAGGTCCACACTTATGTGCTTAGCAGCGAAGAGTAGTTAGCCTACTGACTAATTTAAGTGTGGTCGATTGCGCTCTGGCTTTCAACCTCCCCTTTGTAGGTCATAGTTTATTTCTAGTTATCTCGGAAGGTCGATGAATTTACATAAAAAGCTTTAATTTATTGTCGGAAATACACTTGGGGGGCTTGGAATTTCCAATTAATAGCGACCGCCAACTCGGCACGGAATATTAGCCGATATGGGAAGGGATAAAATTAATTCTTGGCTACTGCTCTAGGATATCCAACAGCTTCTTTGTGAGCTGGATGTGAGCTTTTTATAACTAACATGAACTTGCTGGAGTCGAAAGGTTTTGATATCCTTCAGGGAACTATATTCGTCAACCTTGCTGAAGTTGACATATGGGATTTGCTGACCAGATGCTTATACAAGTTAGTGACTATTGAGTGGAGTTTCTTGTGTTCATAGAAAATGTAAAAGCTGTCCTCGACTTTTCAAGCTATCACGCAAAGTTCACACCATTCTCATGAGTCTGGTGAACAAAATTAAACCGTTATAGCGAAGGTAGTGGAGTATTTCTGCTTCGTTTCCAAGACCAGAACTACCATACAGGACGGCATCTCGGAGGCTTGTCGGATCTCCCTCCCGAGGTTGTCTTTAAGAGCAGGTGGAATCATCTTGAAATTTCGACATTGCCAGCAGAGGGACAACAAAATTCAGAACACATGACTCTTCGTATAATGGCGCACACTGCTATCCTATTGGCCCATACAGCCGCTAGAAGGGTTAAGGAATATAAAAATAGCCCATAAGACAAGCTCGGTAGAGATATAAGACATTGAAGACGCCTTCCAGCCGGCTTGAAGACTCACTTTGTGTGAAATCATCAATTAAACAATATGCACTCACTCACCTCAAGCAATTTCGAGAACATATAAGTTTTCTTCGGACGAGCTGCTTCTACTTTCTTATGTTCAATCTCAGCTGCTACCTTAGAACTGCGTCTTGAGGCATCCGTCCCGCCGCTATCACCATTAGTGCGCCCATTACCGTTTTTATCGAGCGACTGCACATTTCCAAGCTCTTTTTTAAATCCATTTCTATGCCCATTCCCGTTTCCATTACCATTTGCGGCGCCACCATTTCGTGGCTTTGTTTCGACGTTATTTATTTTCGTGGAATTCACATTCTTCTTGGTTTCATCTTGACTACCAGTATTTGCCGTCTGCTGCTCCTTGACCACAGCGCTGCTGACCGTTGTGTTATCTTTAAATTTAATCAACTTTTTCGTCTCGACTATTGGAAAAAGTTCACGCGGCTCATCCCAGTCCAAATACTCGGTCGTTATGTATTCTTGACGCGTTTGAAGTGCGCCCTTAAAGCAACCACTTGCCGTCGTAGTTGCAGACGTCGTCCACAAGGCTATCTCCTCATCTGCTCTGTTCACACTTCGATGCCGCGCTAACATAACCAAACGTTGTCCAGTGTTGCCTTGACGTTGTCGTCTTTTCTTTTGCTTGCGCTGTTGACGCACCATCATTTTACTACTCAAAACTGGTGTTGACTTCTCCCAACGCAAGCAGAAGCCAGGTGGCAAACGTGGCACGACAAAGTCTTGCAACATACCATAGATGTCGATGCCACGCGGTATGCTGAAGAGGTCGAAGTCGGTGACCTCACGCACAGCACCCACTGCTGTCAGCATTTCAGATTCCATTGTTGACTTTTGTGAACTGCGTTTACGTAGCTTTGCGGGAAAACGTGGTGAGCCCTTGAGTGGACTGGCATTGGTTGTGGTCGAGAGTGGTGTGACATCGGTGGGTGTTGCCGTTGTGTTGACGGCATGCCCGAGTGGTGGTTTTGTGCCATCTGTCAGGTTTGATTCCAACGTTTCGTAGTTGGTCTCCCAGCGACAAACAATGGGTGGTTCGAACCAGATGACAGAGTCGGGCAAGCTGTTGGTTGAAGGGTGTAGAGAGAGAGAGAGAGAGCGAAAGTGAAAAAGTAGTTGTGTGTTAGTCAAGTAAATTGATTTATAGTGAAGATTTATAGTGAAGACATCGCATGCGATTGACACGGCGCTGCCATGATTGATTAGTCAAACACTTACTCCAAGCTGACCAGTGCCAATTTGTCAAGTGCCGCTTCAACCATGCGCATCTCCGCTTCAATTTCCTCAGGTAAACGGCGCACGCCGGGCTGGGGTGGCGGTGGTGGTTTGTAGTTTTCGTAAAACACTTTATGACTCAAGTGATCTGGTGAAATGACTGTGAGGAGAATACAAAAAACTATAAAACTTATCTCAAAATTCCAAAAGGCGACTCACTAGTTCTTATAAAGGAGCGCTCGTTGAGTCGTTTATCCTGTTGTGGCGTCTCTAGATAGTCTATGCGGTAGACACCACCAATAATGCGATATTTACGTAGATTCACATCGGTTTCGGCGAGCCCATAACCCTCTGGACCGATAGCACGTCTTCGTGCCTTATTTAGTTCCTCCTCATATTCGGTATAGATTTTATCAACGTCAAAACTGCGTTCGCGTTTACCTCCAGTTGAGCTGTCTTGATCGGCAGCGCCTGTGGAGAGCGGACTGTCCATAGTGCAGTCTTTAAGCATATTTTGTAAGATGTCTTTACGTTTGTGCCACTCTTTCTTAGTATAGCGTAGAATATCTGTTTAAAAGAGTTATGAAAGAAAGAGAAAGAAACAATGGGGAAGAAAAGAGAGAGATTGAAGGAAGCAGAAACAGGGAATGATGAAGAGAAGAGGGGATGGGAAGCGCGGTTTTAGTGCATATAGTTTGGACGACATCATCTCTTTGCTCAACTTATGTGTTCCGGTAGCGCTCTCTTCGGATTGAAACTCTCACAGTAGTCGCTAAAATGATCATAGTCCAGCCAGAGCCCACGCATCGCAGAGTTTTGCAGCTCCACGGATATTGGTAGTGCTATTTGTAGTGTCAGTGCTGGGAACTCGATGTCATTGCTGATAACCTGTTCTCCAATGCGCGCCTTGGGGTTAACGGATCTGTAGAAGGAAGAAAGAAATTCTTCTAAAAAATTTTTAAGAATCTATAGCACAGCCGGCTTCAAGAATTTATTCATTAAAGCTTGTGAAACCTTCGAGGAAAAAAAATGTAATGCGTAAGAAGATCAGTTTTGGGATCGGCTTTGTTCTTTCCGGGCACTTGAAAAAATTTAAGGGGTGCGGTGTTTATCTTCGTTAGAACTAGCTTGATAGTTTATGGCCCACAGATGTCGAAGCTATCAACCCATTCAAAATACTATGGGCAGAACAAAGAGGAATTTCTGTATGACCGAATTGAAAATCTTTCTTGGTGAGCGCACATAAATAAATACTCTTGATATAGCTTGACAGACGGTCTGTAGATCAGTAGGAACCCCTCTTAATGAGTTATGTGTAACAGCCCTGGCTACAGAAGCCGTAGTGGCTGAATATTTAACTCAGAAGCTTATAATGGTGAGGCTTCAAGCAAAGCACTACGAGATGCATAAAGCCTTCGCTGATCTATAAGTCTTCAACTTACATTTGGGCGTCCTTTGAGAAAGTCCAAATGTGACTCTTGAATACGTCGGACTCGTAGATGTGTTTGAAGACGCCCGGACGATCATTCCTAGAATAGAAAAAGTAGATCATATAAAATTCCTTGACCACAGCACATCGCTTAACACCCACTCCATATCGCGATCAATATGCGACATAGTCTTATAAGTGAACTCGTCCAAATGCTCGCTCAGCAGCACGCGTATTTCCATTTTTAAGCAGATGAGATCGCTGATAATATGTGCAGGTTTCTTCTTATCGGTGACCGCTTCATCCAGCTCAGCGAGTATCTAAAAATAGTAAGGAGATTTTAAAAGAAAAAAGTACTCAAGTTTCATTCCTCCACTCCCAGCCTGCCTGCCTGCCAGCCTGCCTGTCTGCCTTACCCCCAACACCTCGCGTATACGTTGCGCATACACATCACCCGCATTGCCCTGCCGCAAACGCAAACTCTTACGCGATAAATCCGGCGCATCCAGATCTTGCGTGAGTAGTGTACGTTCGTTAGTATTTAACAGCCAATTGCGTGATTCGCGTTCACGTCGCTCCATATCGCTACGCCATTGATGTATGTAGCGCCGCAAATCGCTTGGACTGTTCGCGCTGGGCAATCCATTGCAGCGCATAAATCGCTCCCAATCACGTTCCTCCTGCTCGAGTGCTTTGATACCGGATGTGACTTCGCGTACTTCACTAAAGAAGTCCATACTGTTTCGCAGTTGAGCACGTCGTTTTTTATTCTCTTGAATTTCCTCCTTCTGCCGACGCTTTGCTTGTTCGAATTCGACTTGCCGGCGCTGGCGTTCCTCCTCGAGCTTGCGTTGTCTGTTGGGGGACGGGAGGTGGAGGAGAGGCAAAATGTGTAGAGTTTAAAGTTTGAATATTTTTAGTGTCGAACTTACCTCTCCTTCTCCATTTCAATGCGCAGCAACTCCGCTTGTTCGGCCTCTAAGCGCGCTTTCTCTTTCTTGGAAAGTTTCTTTTTCGGTGGCTTTTGGGAGAGAATTTTTTTTTATTAATTTAAGTTTAATTTTTGTTAGTAATTTATTAATAATTTTAATGAATATTATTTTTGTAAATCACGCACCATTATTGCTCGTCTTTCTTTGCCTTAAAAATTCGTTGAACTGCCAATACTTGGCGCTGATTTCTTTCCTATAAATATTGATCCAACTTTATTTAACCGCCATTTCTTAGCGACCGACCGTCGCTACGATTTGCTTCGCTATCTGTTTTTAAGCAAGGAATACAAAAAAAAAATCCCTCAAGTTTTCTTGCTTGATTCAAAGTGCATTTGTGTACTCGCCTCTTAAGCCCGCGTGAGTATAATCTTTTTTCTCTCTTCTATTACCCTCTCTGGCGGCGGTTTCGCCTTAACGCTTTCGTGATTTCCCATACCATTTGTTTAAGCCGTTACCAAGTACTTCCGCTTCCGTTTGGTAAAAAAATTTTCTTTTTTTTTCGCTGGGAATAATGGCTTGAGCTAACGCTGAATCTTGGAGCAACTCGCACAATGAGGAGAAGAAAATGTGGTTTAAAACCTTAATCATTGAATAAAAACTTGTTGCAAGCAAAGAACCGGCGTGTATAACAATGTTATTAGCCTCCTCAGTAAGAGAAAATAGTGAAAATAGCGTTGAACTCATGAAAATGCTCAAATGGTAATACAAAGGTGTGAAGCAAAGTAAGGCAGCTGGCACTTTTAGTCATATCAGTTTATGGGAATGAGTAAAACGCTCTAAGAGACTAGAACAAAACCATTGAAGAATAAATTAGTATTTCCATGTGTATTTGTGATGCAGAGAGAGAGGGTTGTAGTCCTGCAATAGGCTTGGAGTTACAGTTGTAAGAAAATACTTGTTCTTGCGTACTCATTGCACACTCTGGTAACCCTTTTGGGAAGACAGTAATAAAACCGTGTGGTGCCTTGGATCACGGCTAAATGAGGGGACGCTTCAGCTGAGCCACTCCGACATAATTGGGTTAAGGCATCACTGAATTCTTACTACAGCGTCTTTTCATCAGAAACGTGCCAGTATTCAAGCAAGTCGCTGCCACAAAATTCAAACCTAATCACAAGCTGAAGCTGAAACTGTCCACGTAGAAACCAGCTCCAATGAATAAGAGTCAACAGCTGCCGTTGAGATATTTCACCTTTGATGATGACGAGGTTAAACGTGCAAAGGTTTATAATTTGAAGGCATGCACCTAGAATATCCAATCTCTTATTGGGCGAGGTACTATTCCCTAACTGGTTGATATCCCCTTTAAAATTACGCTGACATGAACGCTGTGAAAGAGAAGAGAAGAAGAGCGTAAGCACCGACAAAAATGGAAATGAGTGACATTTACTATGGCGTCCTAATGAAGGACCGCAAATTTCTTGTCAGTCTTGTGATGGGAAAGAGACTAAGTCGCCGAGTGCTGGTATTCAAACCGGTGGACGTCCGCCTTACAACTGGTTGATATCCCCTTTAAAATTACGCTGACATGAACGCTGTGAAAGAGAAGAGAAGAAGAGCGTAAGCACCGACAAAAATGGAAATGAGTGACATTTACTATGGCGTCCTAATGAAGGACCGCAAATTTCTTGTCAGACTTGTGATGGGAAAGAGACTAAGTCGCCGAGTACTGGTATTCCAACCGGTGGACGTACGTCTTACATATCACTGACATGCGTCATGCCAGAGGAAAGAGAAGGATGGTTTTATGACAGCTGCCGAGTTTTCAGCGTTACCAGCTGTCTCAGAGGCTTTCTCTATAGCGAAGACTCCCTCCTGGAAAATATTGTAGTTATTTGGAAGCATGAAAGGCCGTCTGTCATTTTTGATCCATCCGTGTTGAGGATTTACGTTCCACTAGCGGGTTGTATGTTCCTGCGCTAACCGCTCGCCTTAAAAGTAGATCGAATCTTCATTCCTAGATGAAGTGTCGGGCGTGTGGTCTGTCTTTTCCTACATCCGCCTGCATAACGAGATTCCAGCAGAGAATTCAACTAAGACCAACAATCTCATTACGGATTTCACTGCAGTGCTTTACTGGTTAAATAATCTTTCAAATGCCGCCATTGAGGCGATACTGCGAATTAGAGGTCCTGCTATGCACAGTACTGCGATCACTCTAATGGTTTTCTATACGAGATCTTGCTGGCAGTGGCCCATCATCTTCTTTGTACTTTTGTGGTTCCTGGGTGAGATCTCATCCCTTGTACAAGCATGTCGCGGCTTTGATAAGCTGGTTGACGGAATCTTATATCTGAAGTATGCGTCCAGAACCTTTTTCGAGCGTCTTCAGAAGGAATGAGGTTAGATTAATTAGTTTGTATGACCGGATTTTCCTTGAAAAATAGACTTGACTGATAAGGCTAATTTTCACATTGATGGCTACGATAATGATCAAAATGAGCAGTCGCATCTGGGTCTCAGAAACCCCAAGATTCGGTTTCAAAAAACTTCTCTATCTTTCGACTGGAGCAACAGTTATGATGAATGGATTGCGCATGGAGGGATGATTCATGATTTTTTATGGCTGCAATTGACTGGTATTGAACTGGACACATTTCAGCAAAGCAGCGCTTGTTTTTACAGCTTCCGGTTTGTTTTTTTTTTTGAGACCACGCGAAAACCATTCACAACTCAGTACATATGCACGTCGATTAGGCTCTCGGTCAACAAGAAGTGAACGGCCATTTTCCGTACAAAATTTTCTTCAGCGATGACCAAGAAAAACTTATTATCCGGTGCGCTCTTTGGTTCGGAGGTATAGATGGACTTAACTTAATTAAAAGCGATATTAACAAGACTCACTGTCAATTCATTGCTTTCTGGTCGTATTATAACCGACTTTTTTTTGGCATACAATTGTGGAATACGACTTGGACAATATGTGGGTTCAACAAGATGGTGCCACTTGCCACACGAACGAATATGGCTTTATTGCGAGAGATGTCATTTGGGCACCGAAATCGTGCGATTTAACACCGCTGGACTTTTTTTGTGGGTCTATGCGAAGACCGTGGTTCGCTGGTAGCTGGGGTACCGCCAAAGGTGGTCAATCGGATCGAAATTAGCGAAAAATCATCGGGCAACTACAAAATGGAGCTCCCTCTACTTATATGCGCATGGGAAGCTACTAAAGTTGGGAGTAAAATTGTGGTGGCTTAGCACTTTGTAAATTTCAAAGTCATATACTTAAACACATATACATAAATATGGAAATATTTACAAGTCACGAAAGTATTAGGGATTCAAAAAATTTATGAATAACTTAAAATAACCGAAATGCCTGTGGGAGGTTGCAAGGAAACGAGTTTCACAACTTCCAACTCATTGGTTTTGTCTACTGTTGTTCCTGTTTTTCGAAAGCCAAGATTTTTTGCGTTTGTGTGATTTTGGTCATTAAAATTTTAATCACAGCCTCATTGTCTTCTTAGCCTGGTGACATTTTGGCTCATTCCGACAGCGTCAAAAATTCTTGCCAGAGACAGTGAAGCAGCTGCCTACATACATACATACATATATAATATTACCAGCCGCCCTTGCATAGGCGAACATATTTATTTACGAAGTAACTACGTCACTTAATTACCGAAACTTCTTAAGTAGACTTTGGGTTCCTTGGCGGCGCAGCTCAGTAGGTTGATTATTCTGTTGACCCGTTCAAAAAAAAGACAAAAACAAAAAGTAACTGGCTGAGCTCTGCATTTTATGCTGTCGCATTAAAAATTCTTAGCGCCCACTTGCACATTCTACCATGTTTTTGTTTTTGGTGTTGTTCTTCATTTGCTCCACATGACAGCTATTGCCGCCGGTTTTGGTACGAAAAAAAAACTTTTTTATGGAAACCGCAAGTCTGCTCAGTAGGCAGTCTATGTGCCCCGCATTCCTTCTATTTAACCCGCTGTCAAACTTTTTAGCGACTTTTTTTACCTCTTTCACTTTTACTCTTTCCCCTTTTATTCTTTTGTGTGAATTATGTAATTAAAAAAAAGCTTTTAATTGTCGGGGTTACTTAAATTAAGTGATGCTTAAATTTTCTATGTAATCCCTTTTTCATAGTGTTCATTTCGTGTTTTTCTACTACATTTTTCTACTACTTTTTCTACCATCTCTTTCTGTTATGTTTTTCTATTACCTTTGCTTACTATCTTTTCTACTACCTTTTATACTACCGTTAATACTACCTTTTGTACTACTGTTCATACTACCTTTTCTACTACTTTTTTTTTACTAATTTATTCCACTTATTATAAACAGTTGTGTGCTGGATACAATTTATTGGAATATTTTAAACTTGTTTTGTCAAACTTTCACCGACTTTTCTTACTTCTTTCATTCTTACTCTTATTCTTTTGTGTAAATCATGTTATTAAGCCTTTTTTTTAATTTTGGGGTCACTTAAATAAGTAATGCTTTAATTTTAGGTGGAATGTCTTTTTTCATACTACTTTTTCTGCTACCTTTTTCTACTACTTTTTTACTACCTTTTTCTATTACATTTTCTAACTACTTTTGTTCACCCAACCAAATTATGAGGCTTATAACAAGCTGTTCGCTCGACATGAGTGCAATTTAATGGAATTTGTTTAATTAATGTTACACTTACTCTCACTTTCGCTCTCTCTGGTGGCTTTTAAAAATCCTGACTTGTTATTTACGAGCCAATAAGCTATAAAAGGGCTCAATAAAAACTAAAAAGGCGTTAAATACATAAAAAAAAATAAAAATGAAATAGTAAAAAAAAAAAAAACTATTTGTCGTCAACAGAAATTGGCTCGCAGCCATTCAAGGCTACTGAGTTGCGGATTTTACGCACTCTCACACATACACACACGCTTTATTGGTGTAATGCAATTTTTTTATTTGCTTTGCTCTGCACTACACTAACATTTGTTCAGCTCATTGCTTGCGGAGTGTGTGTAAAGGAAAAACACAAAAAAAGAGTGCAAATAAAATACATGAAACCGTTAAAAAATATTCGCTCGAGTAAACATATGTGGACAAAAATTGGCAAATGGTGGCGCACAAAAAAAAACTGGAAGTGGATATGGAAATACATATTGCGGTTGTCAACATGAATAAGTTTCACATTTGTTGCCCTTGCGTTGTTATTGTTATTATTTGCGTTGGAGCCTTCACCCTTTAGCGAAAATTACAGGCGCGAAATATTTGTGCAAGCAGCGTTTGCACATAAAAAATATGTGTATGTGTTTGCACAGGATCACCGTATCTTAATGGAATAACGACATGTACAGCATGTACAGGGTGTTCCACAATTAAATTTTAAAATTTTAAAATCAAAAATTTATTTTTGACTTCTTGTTAATAATTTCTTTTATTGAATCGTGTAACTTTGCTTATTCTTTTGTGAACATATTGATTTTTCAAAATAATAATA